TTTACTCAGATTGTCCGTCTTTCTTCCATGGATTCAAATCACATGCCTTTGGGATATCAGCATGGCTTCTTACCACTAGGTTATCAGAACTCCCTCCTAAGCCCTCATAACTCCCTCATGCCTCAGCATTTATGATAAAGAAAGAAAAATGCTTTATTATTATACTTGACTATTTGTAAGTCAGATTAGCTGTCAAAATAATTTTTTAACTCTCTCATACACACTATTCCAAATAAACACTTTACAACATACTGAAATTTGTACAAAATTATTTAATATTTATTGATCTAAAAACAATAATTTCAGATGATACTTTTTTTGCTAACATTGCATCTATATAAAAAGTTGACTCTTTGGTTTAATTCATACTGCTTGTTTTAAGTGTTCTAGAAACTCAATGGTTTTATGAGAATGTTTGTTTTTGCTTCCTTTTTAAACAACATTACAGTCAGGTCACATAAAGTTAACTCTATATCCTTTATATCTCTTAAGCCATAGACACATTAAGATACTCCCAGAAGACTGATGTCTGTAGAATGATAGGATGGAAAATGATGGACTAGATATTGGTACTGCTGCATGTATCTAGAATTCAACGTTTGTTCTTGCTTTTTTGAATAATATTAGACATTTTCTCCAAAGACAAGTTATTGGTTTCTGTGAGGCTTGAATCTTGTATCTTTATCTCCTCAGAGAACATCAGAATTGTGCTTAATCATGATAGTTACCATAGACAGAACTCATCCGTGTGCTCCAGATATGATCACTGAGCTCTGCCAAGAAGCATTTGAAAAAATGTAAACATATACTTGAGTTTCCACTTATAAACTATTGTACTAATTGAGAATGAAAATTACATGTCCAAAATTTAGTACGCAAATATTTACATCTAAGTGACAACATTATATCTCCATCAACATTACTATGGCAGATAACCAATGAAAACATATTGCTTGAAACTATTATACCCAAGAAGTATGACAGTGTCAGTTAAAAACTGAAAAAAGAAAAAAAAAAAACCACCCAAAATAGATTATTTTGTACATTTTCAGTCTTGACCCTGAGTAGTAAGTAATCCAGTTTGAAATCTTGAGAAGCTGTAACATACAGATGAAGAGTTACATATATTCCTGGAGAAGTAAAGAATGGAAAGGGGGAAAAAAAACCCAAAAACCAAACTCAAAGAGCACAAATGAGGAGGAGAGAGAGGTCTGTTGCGCATCAACACAGGTGAACTGTAATAGGTGGAGAAAAGAAAGCAAGAGCAAAAGGGTTTCTACATTTCTCAATTCAGCTTCATAAGATGGGAAGAGCTCAGTAATGATTTGACCTGTTGTTCCATTATCTGTAAGTTGCTATACAAAGAAAGTAATTGGGTATTGCTTATAATCAAAGTGATTAGTCCTCTGGTCTTACCTTGCTTTAAATTTTAGGGCTTTCGATTTCAGAGCTACCTAATGACACTTAGTTCATTATCCCCTCCACTATGGAAGAGATGTTTCATCTTTATTAACAAAGGATGAGTAAAAGTAAAGCCAATTTAGTTTGATTAACTGGGACTTGGAACTTTTGAAAGTGGGTAACACATTATTGAAGAGAATTACAGAATTGAGGTTTTTTTCAGAACAAAATGAATAATCTCTTGCATCCACTAATTATTCTATTGTTGTGTGCCCTCAAGTCAAAATGACTCATAGTTAAGCCTCCAGTGGGTTTTCAAAGGCTAAACTCAGACAGGAGATAGCCCATCTTCCTTAGAGTAGCTGGCAGATTCCACCCACGTGCTTCTGGGATGAGACCAAGTTATGAATCTGAGGTTGTAGTGTTTCAGAGTCGTATTTTCACCTTCCACTGGGAGACTGAAGTTCAATTCCCATGCAATGCACCTTGTGCACCTCAAGCACAGCCAGCCACTGGTCAGTAAAGGCTTCCGCATGTTGACCAACTTTCAGCAAAACTTTTAGACTGACAAAACTAGAAAGAAAAGCTGATGATCTACTTCAAAAAGATCAGTCAATGAAAACCAAGTTTCACAATGGTTCAATGCTATGGTGTCTGCATTACCATGGGTCAGGGTGTCACCCTGCCCCCACCTAACAAGGACTTGTTGAGGACCTGAAAATTGCTTGTTCCCAAAACGAAACCAAGAAAATTCATTACCATTGAATGAATCCCAAATTTTGGTGATTCTTCGTGTAGAGCAGAGCTTCTCACCCCTGCTCTATCCTGTGTCAACCTTAATGTTTCTGACACACTAACCCACATTACCTCAGTCACTGAGTCAATCCATCTCATCAAGAGTCTTCCTCTCTTGTGCTCTCCATTCACCTTCCCAAGCATGATATTGCTCTCCAAGGACTGGTCCTTCTTGTAACATGCCCAAAGTAAGAAGCTTCAGAATCCTTGACTCTAAGGAGCAACCCGGCTTCACCCTCTCCAGGACGAACTTGTCAGTCCATGGTATATCCAGTACTGTTCTCCAGCACTACAGCTAAAAGACATCAATTCACCTTGTATCATCTCTAGTCATTGTCCAGCTTTCTGATACATAGCAAGTATTTGTGAAAACTGTGTCCTGGATCAGGCACACTTTAATCTGCCAAATTAGAGCTATGTAAATCTTGGAAAGCTACTTAACTACCCTGAGACTCTGGTTTTTTTTCAACTGCAAAGAGTACTTACAAAATATTGTTTATCTTTTCTCTTCTTACTAGGTGTTTTTACCTCAAGGGTGTTTCTTTTTGTTACAAAACCTCAAAACATGGGACAGGTTACAATTCACTTCTCAGTCTGTCCATTCTTCTCCTTGTAACATACCAAAGTAAAGAGGTCAAAATAGCTGCCTAGCAATTGAAAATGAATCTTTCTGGTTACATGTCAATATTAGCCTCCCTTTCATTCCTGAATCTCTCCTACTGGATTAATTTAAGCCCTTGAGTGCCCTTGCTGTCTGGTGAAATTTAGCTATTTTTTTTTCCCTTTTCTGATTGCTCTGCAATCAGAAAATATTAACTTCTCTTGCTTCACGCTCACCAAATTAGGAGGTAATATTATGGCACAGCATATTACTGACACTTCAGAGTCACTACTTACTAGTTATGATTTAGGAGATTATCTCTTGGTCTCAATGATCATCTCTGGAGAGGACAAAGATACTCACAAGCTATTATGGTGAGAACATTAGCCTAAGTCACTACTAGATCTAGTGGGTCTACCACAAACATTCAATAAATGCTAGACTTTCTTTTCCTGACTGTGGTTTCTTTTTACAAATTTTATATACTATGGGAAAGTATTTTAATAAAATGGATATTATTTAAGTGCTATTCATTCTTTCAGTGGCACAGAAACTCACATTTGGCTGAATTATTACTTTAGAAAAATTAATAATAATATTCTGTTCTATCAGCTTTGCTGTTGTTAGCAAGTTGATTTCAGTTTACAGTGGCCCTCTGATGCAAAGCAGACTTGTCTTCTAGGGTTTCTTGGCTGTGATCTTCTCAGGAGCGAACTGTCAAGTCTTTCTCCTACAGAGCTGCTGGGAGGGTTCAAATCATTAAGCTTCCCTTCAGGTACCAGCCAAGTGCTTAAGTTTTCCACCACCAGGGTAACTTAGAAAGTATATAATAAGACACTTCTAATATCACGGTGATCATAGCTCTAAAATAATGTATTGTTTTTAAAATTCTCTTCTTTGTGAATAACACAATTCCAAGTTAAAAATCTCTTTAACGGACATGAAAATTTTATTACTTTAGAAAACACAAAGGGTACCTTCCAATTTGAGAATTAACAAATTAAGATAATACACTTAGTCTTTTTCCTCATTCATTCAGTCCTGTTGTTGAGTCAAAATCCATTCATAGCTGACCCTCCAGTGGTTTTTCATAGGCTAGAAATCACATGAAAGAAAACTGACTATCTTTCTCCTATGGAACTGCTGGTGGATTCGAATCACCTGCTTTTTGGATGTTTGGTTTTTGTTTTTTGTTTTTTTTCCTTCAGGGGGTTCAAATTCTTCTACCAGGGCACACAATCATGGAAGACTTAGGCCAAGTATTACTTTTGCTTATTTTCAATATTGTACTCTTAACAAAGATACAACACACTTCACTCTATTTGGCACAGTTTGAAAAAAGTAAAGAACTTGGCAAACAAAACATCTAGGTACAGTCATGTTAATCTAAGATAAAAATGTATGCACAGGTTTACATTTCTAAATATGTATGTTTGAAAGATATTATATGTCAAGTTTCCCAAATATTTGCTGGCTCGTAAAGTATGTTTGGGGTCAGAGTTCGGGGAATGCAAAGAAAAATACATAACTGATTTCAGGAAAATAAATTCCAGTGATGCCTTTTGTAGTACATGAGGCTGATACTTTATAGATATCTTAGAAAAATCAAACAACTGCTGAACTGATACTTTAAATGTTACTTTTGTTACAAAACCAAGTGCTTTGTGGAAAATTTAATAGAATGTTCATAAAATACTTCAAGCTTTCTGATAGAATTTAAATTAAAAGTAAAAACCATTTCCTCCCATTTTTCTATACCCTTAAAGATATGAAAACACCAGCCATAAAGACAATAAAGGACCACTGATCCTATTATGAACCTTTTATGTAAAAGGAAAGACTTTAGAATGAATGGTTAAAATCTAAACACCATCTCTCCACTAAAGGTGCTACTTAAGATTCAGAAAGATCTTCAGTTTGAAGAAAACAATTTAATTACTTTTTTTTTAACCATTACCATTTAAAAAAAATAGTATACTTATAAAGAAATTCCACATATGGTGTAAAACAAACAGCTAACTTATGACACAGAGAATAACACTGTCACTGTACATCAGTGCACTGCTTACCATAAAGATATCCAAAATTCTACCACATTTGAGGCTCATTACCACCTTACAAAAATGGTCCAGATTACTCTTTGAATATATATATACAACTACATTCATCCTGTATTTTAATAATAATTTAAAAGGATGATATTTCATTTATTTTTGTGAATGAAATTTCCAAACTTTTGCATAAAGCCTCGGAATTTGTTTTCATTTGGCTGATAGGAGCGATAAACGCCCGTGTTATAATTATTAAGCAGTGGGCTGGATCGGCCATAACCACTGCCCATGGTACTGGATTTCATTTCTGGGCGGTAGAGGCTGGGATTTGACAAGTTGCTGGTTGGCTGAATAGAAGTCTCAATCTTACAAAAGGGTTCAAAACGACTGTAAACGCGCCGGTCAGTTGACTGAGATCTCAGAAGGTCACTGGGCTTTGGTCTTGGAGGTACAGCTGGTCTTCTTTCAGGAGCAGCAGCTACGTTCATTTCCCTTGGATCTCGGTATTGGATCTGCTCGGTGTTAAACCTTGGGGCAGAGGCATCTCCTGCGCTGTCCAAAAACTTCCTTTCAACTGGACCAGGAGAAGGTATTATTTTACTACTTTCATCTGATGGATTTACTCCGTGGGACGGGCTAACTGCGACATCTTCCTTACTCTTGTGGAGGCTTCCCTGAGAGTTTGATGAAGAGGAACGCTTTCTCCTAGGAGATGAATCGGCTTTGGTCTCTGATTTTTTTGGGTTTTGAATCTCTTCAGCTTCAGACACAAGAGTATCAGAACTACTGCACATTCTGTAAAAGGCAGGTGCTTTATTTTTGGATAGAGTTTCCTTTTTCTCTGGGGTCAGGCTGAGTAATGACCTTAGCTTCTGAGACCCCTTTTTCAGAAAGCTTGGAGAACCCTTAACTTCCTTCTTTGAAGTCAGCTCTTTGTTGGACTCCTCTTTATTCACATCATGTAAAGCAGCGATGGAGACTGACTTGGTGGTAGGACCAGTCGGAGGATCTCTCTTGACAACCTCATCATCACCCTCTATGTTTTGGGTAACATTATGCATGCTTTTAGAACTTTTCAGTAAATCTTCTTTGGGTTTTTCTGAGTGTCTAACTCGATTCCTTGTCAGTGTGCTATAGACATAGTGCTTACTGTTTCCATGATCGACATTGCCTTTTGAGTGGTCAAAGGATGGGAAGCTTCGCCTTTTAAGCAGGTTCTCATTTTGATGGTTCTTTGGCTTTTCTGTCTGCTTGCTTGCACACAAGGTGGTATAGATATAGTTGTTTGACTCGGAATGACCATTTGTACTATGGTTTAAGACTGGGGAGTGGTTTTCAGGAACTTGCAAAGTGTGCATCTTGGGGGTGTCTGAGTGCAGTGGGGGTTTGGGGTTTGAGTCTTCCATAGGTTTTTCTGGCAAATGCTCTATACTAGTAGGGGTTTCTGGGACCTCTTTTGGTGTATCGCTTCCCTGAGAACCTATGATAGTCGAATTTGAGGATCCGGTTGTACAACTGTTAACCTCCTGCTGCTCAGGTAAAGTTGGTTTAAACACAAAAGATGAACGGAGTCGAGAATGAGTGTAAAGGGCATTGGCTTTCAAATTCTCAGAAGCATCATAGCCCTCAAAACGGTCCCCCAACATGGATCCATTTGCATCAGGGGAAGCTTCTGAATGATCATTTAAGTAGGATTCAATTCTCCAGTTACGCAGGAATGATTTTGTGGTGTTTTCCAGAGTGGGCATGCGTTGCTGCAAAAAACGAATATGATTATCTGTGCCATTAAAAGACCTACGCACATTTGAATTTCTTTCTGCAAGATTTGTTGTTTTTCTCTGGGCAAGCCGGTCAGCAAAACTCTGGGCAGGTGTGTTATGGTGGCTTTTGTAACCGCCCCGTGATGATGATGCCACACTGAGACTATCTGAAGGCCTTTTCCAATTACCAGGCAGATTATTGGTTCGGTTGAGGGCTCTGTTAAGCAGCAGATAGGGGGTGGTTTCTGGCTGTTCTCCAGCATAGCTATGTCGCTTCCAATTTTCATTTAACTGACTCGGTTGATACTGACGGGCTGCATTTGGACCATTAAAATTTGGAACAAAATGAGGTTTGTACCCATGATTCCTTATGTTAAACTTGTCATGTTCATTTAGTGGAAATATTCCTCTGTTTTTGAAGTAACTGGGATCTAGTTTGTGAATATTATCTTGTCTCCCATAAAAGTTTCTCTGACTGGAAACGGAAGCTAACGAAGACACAGAACGCTGGTAACTTCCGTTCTCCCAGAGGTTTTTGCCGTGTTTCACCCTTAAAGACTCCTCCTGAGCAAATGAACTGGGGACACAGGATCTGGCATACAGGGTTCGAAATTCTTCATCAAAGGACTCGACCAGTTGTCCTGTGATCATCTGAACCATGCTGAGATGAGCTTTTTCAAATGACCACATATAGCTGGAAAAAAAAATATCAAAATTGGGAAAGTTAATACAGTTAAGTTGAAAGGTCAATGATGATATATAATTTCATTAAACAAACAATGTCTCCACTGATGGCAACAGAGAAAATCTTTGTTTTCTTTTACATCTATCTTTTTGTCCCCATAGTCATATTTTTAAATATAAATTCATGCCTCAAATGACAAAATAGCTTTCATTTTGGCTTGGAAACTTGGCCAGAACATCTCCTGAGCCGAAGGATCTCAAAGAACAAGGTGGGTGTGCATTCTGCAATTCTGCTTGCCATGTTTATAAAGTATAGAATGATAGTATATTTTATATATAGCATTGTGGTGGAGTGGACAAAAGTTAGCAGTGGAGGAGAAAATGAAAAGACCTGGATTCTGCTAAGCTCTACAGCCACATAAGACTGGGTCTCTGTTCCCACAGTTCTAGGAGGAGGACATAGATTGCAAAATACTTATAATTACTTCTAATTCTGACATGCTTTAAATAGGTTTCTACTGAGAACAAACAGGTTCGTCCTGGAAAGGGTGAAACCAGGCTGCTCCTTAGAGGAAAGGATTCTGAAGCTCTGTCTGACACAGTTTGGACATGCTGCAAGGAGGGATCAGTCCTTGGAGAGTGACATTACACTTGGGAGGGTGAACAGACAGCACAAGAGAGGAAGACCCTGGATGGGATGGATTAACTCAGTGACTGGAGCAATGGGGGTGAGTGTGTTGGAGATGGTAGATAGAACAGGGTTCAGAGCTGTTGTGCGTAGTAGGGTCACTATGAATCATAGGCAACTCGATGGCACAGAGCAACTACAACACCAGCAACTGAAAGATGCCGTGTAGGAGGGTTGATATCTTAAAAAAAGTAGATCTGTGTCTTAATATGTGTAATTTAGGAGTCTAGGAGCTACAAACAGAGAGGATTGTGGGCATCAGGTGCATCCATTAAAGGGCAAATTACTGCAATCAGTGTACAAAGAAGTGAAAATGTGTGTCCCTCCCCCCCATAAACCAGAATATTCACAATGCCATTCAAAGTCTCCTGATATAATAATAGAATATTAGAAAGTGAAAGTTTATGTAAGTACTCTATGGAACTTTAAATTCCTTTCCTACACTTCAGAATGCAAAGTTATTTTCAAATTTCATGTCAAAGTTTAAATGGAAGATTTCAAAACCTAGTGTAATGTAACATACAGAGTCACCCAGCTCTAAAAGAAAGGAATTGCTACTATGCTATATGTCAAGTAATACAAAGACACAAAAGGAATGATGGAGACATTCTTCACAATGAAGATTCTTACTGTTTCTACAGAGATAACATTAGCACTGGCAAATCAAAAGATTTGAAGAATTAAAGAATAAGAATTTAAAATCTCTAAAATAGAAGTAGTAACATACAATAATCTGTTATTCTTCTTAACCCTAAACCAGCCAATTGCTATCAACATGTCTTGTCGAATCTAATTCTAAAACTTCCCTGGTCTAACTCGTTTAAAAGGGTGCTCCTGTGAATTAGTGGACAAGAAGTGGCACTGTCAACTCAAAATCAGGCAGTTCAAATATACCAGCTGTCCTTTGGGAGAATGACGAGCAATCTCCTTCTGTGTGACTTATTGTTGTTGTTGTTATGTGCCGTCGAGTCGCCTGTGACTCATAGCGACCCTATGTACAACAGCCCTAAACTCTGCTCTGTCCTGTGCCAATCGCACTGTCTCTGACACTCCCATCCCAATTATC